AATGGTCCAGAAGCCGATCATTGACACCCTCCACAAAGAGGGAAAGTCACAGAAGGTCATTACTGAAAGGGCTGGCTGTTCACAGAGTGCTGTATCAAAGCATATTAAATGCAAAGTTGACTGGAAAGAAGAAATTGGGTTGGAAAAGGTGTACAAGCAACAGGGATGGCCACAAGCTTGAGAATACTGTCAAGCAAAGCCGATTCAAACACTTGGGAGAGCTTCACAAGGAGTGGACTGAAGCTGGAGTCAGTGCATCAAGAGTCACCACGCTCAGATGTCTTCAGGAAAAGGGCTGCCAAGCCTTTTCTGAAACAGAAACACCGTCAGAAGTTTGTGTTTTATCAAGTCCAAAGTCAATGCAGCCATCTACCAGGAGATTTTGGAGCACTTTATGCTTCCATCTGCTGACAAGCTTTATGGAGATGCTGATTTCCTTTTCCAGCAGGACTTTAGCACCTGCCCAGAGTGCCAAAACCACTTCCAAGGGGTTTGCTGACCATGATATTACTGTGCTTGATCGGCCAGCCAACATGCCTGACCTGAACCCCATGGAATCTATGGGATATTTTCAAGAGAAAGATGAGAAACAGTCGATATGAGCTGAAGGCTCAATAGTGCCTCAGCAGTGCCACAGACTGATCGCTTCCATGCCACACCTCACTGATGCTGGAGTTTGTGCTAAAGGAGCCCCAACCAAGTATTGAGTGCATAAATGAATATGCTTTAAAGAACTTGAACTTTTCTGTTTTGCACATCCTTTTTTTTATTGATCTTAGGAAATATTCTAATATTTTGAAAGTTGACTGGAAGAAATTGGGTAGGAAAAGGTGCACAAGCAACAGGGATGATGCAAGCTTGAGAATACTGTCAAGCAAAGCCGATTCAAACACTTGGGAGAGCTTCACAAGGAGTGGACTGAAGCTGGAGTCAGTGCATCAAGAGTCACCACGCTCAGATGTCTTCAGGAAAAGGGCTGCCAAGACACTTCTGAAACAGAAACAACGAGAGAAGCATTATATTCTAATATTTTGAGATACTGGATTTTTGACTTTCATGAGCTGTAAGCTCTAATCTTCGAAATTAAAACAAAAAAAACTTTTGAAATGTTTTACTTTACATGTAATGAATCTAGAATATATGAATGTTTCACTTTTTGAAATAAGTTACCAAAAAAAAAATTTTTTTAGGTAATACAGCACCTGTATTTTAAATATATGCTAAATATATGTTCAGTGCCTGAATTTCGTTTTGGAAAATGAGTGGGAATTCCCCCTTTAGATGACTCTGGGGGGGGTATTTTTTAGACATTTTTAAACTGCAATCATCTAATCTAAAAATGTTTCGTTACGCTGTGTATTTGTGTTTTACAATTTATAATGTTGTTGATTCATATTTATATTATGAGGAAGATATTTAAAAATAACTGATTTTAAATTGAATTTATTTTAACTGCAAAAGACAAGTAAACAGTCAGTATTAAAATAAGCACAAATAAATGACAAGCAATGCCACAAATACATACAATAACAAGATATAACTGAAATTAACTGTGCTTTACGTTTTTCAGGTAGGTATAACAATAATATTCAGGTACAGAAACACCACAGAAACTGAATAATCTATTCAACTTTAATATAACACTGGTTAGTCTTCAATGTATAAATAAACATTATTGGCAGATTATAACATTTTTTTACAATAATATGGTCCTATGAAGTTTTTTTTTCTCTGGATTTATGATTTAATATTAATTTATTACCAAAAACTGTGGTAATCAAATAAATCCATATAACAATAAACATTTAAATATTAAAAAGTAGGTTCATTGTTTTAAATTACAACATTAACAAAAAATTGTGTCATATTCTTAAAATATTGTTTTATATTTAATAATTATTACTTTGAGAAATACATTTTACTGTACAAAAGTAATATACATATTTCAGGAGGGATTCATCTCACACCAGACAGGAAGAAAACACCCACAGCACCTTAATAACTGTGGCACAAATTTTAAAATTGTCAAATTTCACATTTCAAATTTGAAAAATCATGTTCTGTCGGATCATCATTTCATATATAAAATAAGACATGAACACATCAACACGAGTGATATAAAGACGTCTGAGAGCTGAACATGCTCAACATCAGCAGAAGTAAGAGTCTGAGCTGAACTTTCTCTTCCTGACACTGAACCCACAAACCACCAGCAGCCAGTGACTGCAGTTAAAGCTACACGACACGTGAGCACGGCCTCGTCACACAACACGCAGATCTGAGTTCAGAAGTCACAGAAAAACCACTGTTACTCACAATGAGACGAGACAACGACATGCTGACACAGACTGTGAGACGTACAGCTCACTCACACCTCCACCGGTCCTTTAAGAATGAATCAGATGCTGCTACAGGAGCCCAGCGTCCTCAGATGAGAGTCGCTTATCCGTGACGCAAGGACCAATGGCTTCAACCAAAGAGTGAATGTAATGCAGTCAAACCGGCTCAAAGCATCCGAAACGTTCCCACTCAGATTCTTCTGTCCGGCAGAACAACTTCTTATTTCTGAGAAATCCTGATTTTCATGAGTGTGTGTGTGTGTGTACGGGGTCTGGTCACAGAAGTGAGGGGTGAGGGCCGCTTCCTGTCTGGATGCGTTCATGACACACACAGCTGGAAAACTCTAGCGACATGAGTTCCGCATTCCTCATTGCCCCTGACCCCTGCAGAGGTCAGCAAACACACAGGGTACACTCACACTTCCCTTTATGTTTCAAGACAAAACACACCCACAATGAACACAAACACTCCAGCCAAGAGGCTTCATATTTGTGAAAAACAAATCAAACAAACACAAATCCCTTCTCACAATTTAACAAGTCTACTTGTGGAATTCATAGAAGTAATGTCAAAAGCATAGATTATGATACATACCGAATATTTAATTCTGAATATTTAAAACTGTTTCAATATTCATTTTGTGCAGTACACTGATTCCAGCTGTACTTTCTCACTCTCTCTTCTCTCAGACAACAGATAGTATCTTAATGAAATAAGTATATAGTCTATAAGTATATTCTAATATGTAATTCTATTCTAATTCTATTCTTTATAAAAAATTAAAACGTGCCCCTTTTAGACTCTATTCATTTACTAACTGCTTGTTTTCTTAAAAAAAAAAAAAAACTAACACTAGCTTCTCTAATCTTTTTGTATTCTATCCATTTGATTTCTTTTTATTTATTATACAAAAGCAAAAAAGGCCTCTAACACTAGCTTGCTCTATTCTTTTTCTATTCTATCTGTTTTCTTTTTATTTACCTTGCTAGGTTTACTGCGTTACGCTAACTGAGACTTGTTATAGCACTTGCACATCATTGCTCTGTTGTTGATTTTGATTGCTTCCATTGTCCTCATTTGTAAGTCGCTTTGGATAAAAGCGTCTGCTAAATGACTAAATGTAAATGTAAGTACATAGACTGTGTTCACTGCATGTGCTGTGAGTTTAATTTGCATTTGAGAACGCAGCTTGAGCTAGTTATACTTTTTCACATTCATATAATTTCCATTATTTTTGTGGACAGATGATTACAGCATTTTATGCTTTCATGCATTTTACACAGATTTGTAATGAGAAGCATTTATAATTGAAATTAAAGGTCTTCCTGCAGCTGCCTGCTAAAATAAAAGCTTCAGGGTTTAACTCTCTCAAGTGATGAAATTAAGACATAAATATTGTAATTTTATTAAAGTAAATTAATTTGTAGAGCAAAATAATTCATTTACTTATCATAAAGCATAAGTTTTTTTATTTTACAGAGCAGTTGTGTTACAACAGTAGTACATTTCTGTCTTAGAAATAACAATAATAATAATAACATTTGCTTGTAACTTGCTAAGCTGGGTATTTTGCAATTTTAATGCAACGTAAAGAATAAAAGTTCAAAAAAGTACACTTTTGCAAAAACATTTTGAATAGTGATGCGTGATGCATCAAAAAAATTCTGGGCTGAAACGGAAACCAAAATTCAGGATGCACTTGGCCAAAAACGGAAACCAAAAACAACTTTTATTAAATAATGAATCAAAAGTCAAACTCTTACTAACACTAAAAAAAATAAGCTGTACAAACATTTAAATTGCAAATAAGGTATTTTTATGTCAATTTGTTTTTTAAACGGTAACACTCCGGTATAGGGATCAATTCTCACTATTAACTAGATGCTTATTAGCATGCAAATTACTAGCATATTGGCTGTTTATTAGTACTTATAAAGCACATATTCTGCATCACTAATCCTACCCAATACCTAACCTTAACAACTACCTTACTGACTATTAATAAACAGCATATAAGGAGTTTACTGAGGCAAAAGTCGTAGTTAATGGTTTGTTAATAACAACAATTGGACCTTAAAATAAAGTGTGACCAAAAACACACAAAATTGTGACCAAAAAATAACATTATTTTTCTACTCCAATTTTTCTTGAAATATAAAAACATGACATGTCTGAAATAAAACCTTGTTTTATTTAGTACTAGTTAACATGACTTTCTAAACCATCAGGAAGTCTCGTGCTGGAATGAGTAAAGAGAAACGAAAGGCATGTTGAGGAAGTGAAACTCCTGCTGTTTGAGGCTGACACATATAACACCTATAACATCATGACTTCACCATGCAGTCATCTGTCAGCTCACACACACGTGTGGAAGAGTGAAGTGAGGTACATACCAGCATCGCGCCAGATACATGTGCTCCTTGACCAGCACTGAGCCCGAAAGCAGGACAAACCAGCACGTGGAGATGCTGTCAGCACTGGAACACAAACACAGGCCATCAAAACCCTCCACATGAGCCCAGTCACACATCAGGACGTCTGCTGCGGTGTATTTTAGTACCATACGTTTACATGCGCCACGAATTATTTCCAATAATCATGATCATAATTATGATGTTTACATGTCAAGAGCAAATCTCTTCACTCCCGTTTACATGCAATTTCCATTATTCTTATTATCCGTTAAGAATTGTGGTTATTTTTTTACCGCTATTATTCCCATACGCCACTGCACAGCACAAATGATGGACTCAGAAAAAATAGGTGTGTAAACTGGCTGCTGTTTTAATTTATTTACTTTCGAATGCAAAACACTTTTGTATGGTTGTATTCCGTGCATTTGGCGCCATAGAAATGTGATGCTTTCTTCCCCACCATCGTTTCTAATCTGCGTATTACTGCAGGTGCGTGTCACGTCATTAATGTACGTCCGAACACATGCGCACTTTGGTCAGAGCAGCAATAATGCGATTAAGGTGTTTACATGCCTGTATATTTTGATTAAAATCGGCATACGCCACCTATGTTAATACGATTACGCTTGCTGAGATTATGAGCTTCATCGCATTATTTAGTAGGGATGCACCGAAATGAAAATTCTTGGCCGAAGCCGAACAAAATGAAACACTGGACCGAAGGCCGAATTTTTCGCGTTTTTCCCCCATGTATTTTGCCAATTTTTTTTCACCTATGCATAAATTAAATAGCCAAAATGTGCTTTTTACTGTTTTGTCTCGCTTTTCAAAGAAAAAAATCAATTACAAAACATCAATTTAAAAATACTTATTTAACACTGAACATTTTTTAACATTCTAGAAGACATTATACCAACAAATCACAATTTAACTTAAAATTAACAAGTTAGTAAAATAATATTTTTTGGCCATTTTTGAGACCCCCTTCTTGAATCAGGCATGTATTTTTTATTTTTTTTTTACTGTACAAATAAATGCAGCCTTGCTGAGCAGAAGAGACTTCTTTTAAAACATTAGAAAATATTACAGATCCCAATTTGAACACTATGTGTGAATGTTATAATAAATGTATTAATAGAGCTGTTGTAATTATTATTATCATTATTATTGTCTCACTTTTGATTTGATTTTACAGAACAACAGGAAAATTACAACACTAACATTTATGAATGTTGATGGAGCTTTTATTTTGTTGACAACAGCAGATTAATAAATTATTCTCATTACGAATTTGGGAAGATGTTTGTCACACGTATCACATTGTGACATGCCTTGTAAAAAAAAAAAAATCATAAAAATGTTACAGAGCAGCTGACGAGTAACAGTTTCAGTGCAGATTTGCCTCGCGCTTTGGATTTTGAACGCTGGCTAACGAGACATAGAAAACATAACGTTCTGCTGTTTATTTAATTGTTTAAGGCCATTTCGCGATTTTAATCATCAAACATTAACCAGCAACAATCACCTCTTCCTCTTCTCATGGAAGACATGTGATGCAGTACTAAACAGTCTCTTGCTGTCGGTGCTTGTAATGATTTTTGTGTCTTTCTCGGACAGTTTTAATTGCTTTCACACTGCCGACATGTTTGCTGTATTAGTGCACGCCTCTATTTGATTGCGTCACGTCATTGTTCGGTACAAAGACCTTTTTTTGCTATTTTTGACCGAACAATTTCGGCTGCCGAACACTCGGTGCATCCATTTATTTAGATCAAAGTATTGCAATATTGCCAAAATCTCATTATAATCGCATTAAGAGGGTGCATGTAAACGCACTGATTGATATACCATTAAGGCTACGACACACCAAGCCGACTTCAAAGAACTAGAGCCGATGAAAGCCGACGGTGTTTGCTGGACCAAAAAGCTGCACTTGAACGCACCGCACAGACTACAGCGACTGCAAACTAGCAACTGTGTGTGAGGAATTAACAGTCTATATCAGCAGCAATCAATAGTCTATATTCGTCATTTAAAATGAGAAACAGAAAAAAAGGATATATGTGATATACGCAGATAAACGAAATATAAACAAAGCACGACTTGCTTACCATTTTGAATATCAGTTATGTTGATAGCTTTCATTATTTTAAGCGACTCATGTTATGAAAATATTAGTGCATTGGAATGCTCGGGTAAGAAAATTAACATTAGAACAGCCTTCAGTCTGATTTCTGTCGGTGCTGACTTGATTTACTTGCTCTCTTTCATCACTTTCGCTTTAGCACTGACTAGTTCACGTCAATCAGAGTTCTCACTCTCACCGATGGCCCCAATACCAGTTCAACATGCTGAATTGGGTAAACTGCCGTCATTGTGAGCCTAATGATAGCCAACATGTGGAAAACACCAAAAAACTAGCCCGACAGATGATTTATTATTGGCCTGACATTGACCGACCATCGGCTTGGCGTGTCCTGGCCTTTATAGTTTTGTAAATATTTTGAATTCATTTTTTTTTTTCTGTTTTTACTTTCATTTTAGTTAAAATTTTTGTAATTTTTTTTTTTTTAATATGTCTACTTTTTTAAAGTGGAGTTATTTTAGTACTTCAAAATAAAAATAAAAATGATAAATGTTGCCTCGACAACTAGTTGATTTTTTTTTTTTTTTCATTTCAGTTCATTTTTATTTATTTCAAAGCAATGAAAATGGTTTTAATGGTTTCAGTTTTAGGTAAAGGTGATAAACCTGGATTCAGCTGCTATCTATCAGTATGTGCTATCAACACTACTAACATGCAGAGATGTACTTACTAGAAGAGAACATGGTTAGCCTCATAGCGCTCGTACCTGGCTGTCATGCACATGGACCTGTAACACAGAGAGAAGTTTGAGAGGAGGACTGCATTTTAATTAGGGGTGGGAATCTTTAGTCACCTCACGATCCGATCCGATCCGATTCTAGGAGTCACGATCCGATTCCAGAACGATTCTTGATTTACTTTTTTCCCCCCTTATTAATTAATTAGTTTACTGACTTGAGAATCTTAAAATCCTTACATTTACATATCCTTACATAAGTAATTAAGTACTTTTTAAAATAATTACAAATTGAAAAAAAATTTTTTTAAACAGTTGTATGTTAAGAATTTTAAACTAATATAACTTCAAAACATACAAGCAAGTAGCAAATAATAAAGAGGAGCATAGAAACATATTACAAACAACAAACAAAGAGTGCTTTCAGTATTTAAGATTATCTGAACGTTTTCCATTCAAGAACTGTGAGTGATTCTTCTTCATCTTTACTGTTGTTTTTTACTATAACATCAGACAGCGGGAGATCTATTAAGCTGCATTCACGCACGGATCTCTTTTGAAATATAAGTAGTAATGTGGTTTGTCCCATCCGTTTTAATCCCTTAAAACATAACTGGCTGTGTTTACATTCATTTTGCATCATAAAACCATTTTGAGACGCAAGTGCATTAAACCACTTACACTGAGTCGCGCACAGCCGCATGCGCGAGCAGTCTTCACAAACAAAGCGCACGTCAGCATTTGAAATTGAAAGCAGTCTTCTGTTAGTGAGGTTCATATTTTAAATATATAAGTCCACTGCATTCCAAACCACATAAATGATGACTTCGTAGAGCATTTGTAAGGAAAATACCAACAGGCGAGACCGCACACTTCAAGTGTAACATCAAACAAAGCACGCATCCGGTGCAATGAAGCCAGCGAATGTCCTTGTAATTCGCTTAAACCTTTCCGAACTTTATGAAAGATTATTTTACGAAAGGTTCGAGTGGTGTATGTGTGTGAGGAATTGGAAGCAAGCAGAATACGGGGTGTTTCTAAAGCAAACTCAGCGTCAGCGCGCATCTGGTTAAAAACTAAGCTCAGAATCGATCCAGAATCGTTTGGAGAGAGAATCGCGATGCATCGATGGATCGATTTTTTCTCCCACCCCTAACTGTAATGGGAATAATTAAGTGCGAAAATAACTGAAGAATATATCTATTTGCTAAATAAACTAAGCCAACTAACATTATCCACATTCTTTTGGTTTTCTGTACCCAGCATTTCTAAATATTATAAATGCAATGAAAATACAGGTATCTATACTCGGTATCGGCAAGTACCAAAAATAAAAGTAGCGTTATCGGCCTCATTCTGGAAAAAGTGGTATATCGGTGAATCCCTACTTATAAAGCACATATTAATTTCTTATTCTGCATGATCACATTTTAGATCTCTTAATCCAACCCATACCTAAACTAACAACTACCTTACTAACTATTAACAAACAGCAAATTAGGAGTTTATTGAGGCAAAAGTTATTGTTGATAGTTAGGAAATAGTGGGAATTGGTCCCCAAACTAAAGAAAGTGTGATCATATAGGCCTAATATTTTGATGTCCCAAGGTTGACAGATAATCATTTTCTGAAGGTCAAGCACCATTCGATGCATCTGTTACTGATCAGATGAAGGCCGTGATGTTGAGGTCGGTCTCACCTGAGCTGATGTTCTCTGAGGTGACACAGCACATCCATGTGAAACAGATGAGTGTAGATGGTGTTTAGGTCCTAAACGAGACAAACACACACATTAGTGAGCCACACCTGACGCTCTCTTAACTCAGATCAGCATCAGGACCATTTGTTCACACTGTAAAGCAAACCGCCGATTATTATTAAGCAACAGCATGAAGATATGGCACCGTTATTAAATGTCAGAATGTTATTGGTGTATATAATCAGACAGTGTTGTGCATTAGCTACAGATACTCATCTTTTCAAAAACAAACTAATGTTGAAATACAGCTAAATAAATCACATCAGGTTCAGTGTTGGGGAAAGTTACTTTTAAAAGTAATGCATTACAATATTGTGTTACTTCCTTAAAAGGTAACTAATTGCGTTACTTTTTTACTTTTTATGGAAAGTAATGCATTACGTTACTTTTGTGTTATTTTTCCTCATCTGGACTGGGCTTGCTTGTTTATTTTTAATATAAAAAGTTCTATTTTTGGCAAATGTAAAAGCCCTCTCACACCAAAAATGAAATGATGAATGTATGAATGAAAAATGTAAATTCACGTTTGTACAGTAGAGGGCGCAGCTCAAACAAACCTTTATGTGCTGCCATTCTAAATTGCATGATGAAAAGTGAATTACTCTTCAGCAATAAAAAAAAAGTGAAACAAAGGTTATGTTTATCTAAAGTCATTTTTGCTTATTAGTAAGGTTGAATTGGAACACTGAAGGTCAGCAGCAAAGACATTGGTTAATAAAAATGGAATTTAGATACATAAAGGATGTTTGTGTTATTTAACATTAGTTATTGCAGGTTTGTGTTTTTATTCATTTTGAGGAATGCATGTTCATATTCAGTCTAGAACTACAGTAACATCATGTTTACACAGCACACACAACGCCTCTGCACTTACTCCTGATTTCTCTTAACATGAGGACAAGAGAGCTGTCAGTCAATACATGGGAAAACAAAGTAACTGGCATTACTTATTTTTAAAAAAAAGTAACTCAGATATTTTCTTGTAAATTAAAAAGTAATATGTTACTTTACTGGTTACTTGGGGAAAGTAATCTGATTACATAAACCATGTTACTGGTAACACTGAGTAGGTTGTATTTGATTTAGAAGTCTCTTGCTTTTAAAATTCTTATCAATACTCGGGTTTCATCTCTGGATTCTAGTAAAATCTTTGAAAGGCTTCTCTGCCACCTGTGATTCACACAGCGCTGCCACATGGAAATACTGACAAAGACCAAATAAAACAGATCAAACAGCACAGACAATAAGAGAAACATGAGCAAACAGATGATGCTACTTCCACCACCGCAACACACTTCAACTCATGACTGGACAGAGCAGCCATTGTGCACTTCACTACAAAACATCCATTCAGAAACATGGACAAGTAAACAAACATCTGAACTGAAAACAACATCTACTCATGACTCCTAGTGTTTGAAACGTAACCTTGAAAACATGATCATTGCTCCAGATTAGAAGTGGAACGATACATCATTTTTACGGATTAATAGTAGGGCTGTGCGATATTGAAAAAAAATGCGATACCTTGTTAAAAAATGCGATATTCGATATGCGATACGATATTGCTTAAAGTGTGTCAAATCAATTTCAATTATATTTTAAAATATTTAATATAAAAATGAAAATTATATAACCAATTTGTTTCACATTCTTTCTTGGAAAAGAAAGAATCACTACAGCTTCTGAAAGTGACCAGCAGTGTTTTAGCATTACATAAAAAATAATGTCACAAATCAGAATATGTCATTTTAACTTGATTAAAGGCAAGTGAACAGTCAGTAAAAAAAAAAAGAAAAAAAAGAAATACACAATTTACAAGCATAGATAAAATAAACAGTAGATACAGAAATTTTATAATTAAGTGTAAAATAACACTGCATGGTGTTCACTGTATGAATTAAACTTAGATTAATCTTTGTTATAGCTGTTTTGTTGTTTGATTAACATTAGTGACATATTCAGCAGCAGGTATTTATAGGCTGCTGTCCCTTTAAATCCGACTGCACGGATCCAGTATAATGATACACATCCGATTTCTTTCTCAGCTGTTTACATTCATTTAAAACATAACCGAATGCGTTTACGAGAATGATTGTCGAGTCGGGTACTATTGACATAATTCTGTGTTTATGTGTCTGTTCAAAGATGCAAAAGACGAATCAACTCGGTGTTCGCGCGCCGTCTGAAACACGTCTCTCTGTGTGTGCGCGCGCGCTTTGCACGTGTGCGGCAGAACTGAAGAGACGCTGTGCGAGATGCGGCTTGTGCACGCTCTTCAGGTGTGAGTCTGTCAGACAGCAAGACGAGACGGCATAGAGTTGTTTTCTGCAACTTATTGCACTTAACTCTTTTTAACGTCAAGCAATTCTCTGCTATATGCGTCGAACTAAAACTTTGACCTTTTGCAACGTTTTGATTTAAGTAGCCTATTATTAAAATGATTCAGATATTGCACGCCCTTGCAATATGCATATTGCGATATTTACATCTGCGATATTTCGATAATTTCGATATATCGTGCAGCCCTAATTAATAGGCACCATTTTTTCGATTGTGCGGAAAATGCTGATAGTTCGTGATTTTCTTTTTAATTCCTCCATGGTCTCCAATGGAGAAAACAGTACAACAGCTCACTCTAGAGGTGAAATGAAACCAATCCCGGACTTTGCATGGAGTTTGTTGTGACACAGGACTGTAAGGGCAGGTTTGGTCCAATTAAAATAAACTCTGGTGCGACTGCACCAAACAAGCAGACTGCTACCCAGAGTCACCTGAGAAACATATGTTTACATGTATATTCAGTAGTCTGAACGTAATTTATTTTATTGTATACTGTAGCTATTATATTGTTGTGTATATTGAGTATTAGGGGTGTAATGGTGCACGTATTCGTACCGAAAGTCTTTCGGTTCGGTACACATATGTACCCAACAAATCATTAAATTTTTTCAAGAAATTCAGACAATAAATGGCGTTTTGGCGCTCTTTGATGTGGCGTGACAGATTGCTGTATAAACCCCTCAGTTCTAACTAGTGGTCGACCGATATATCGCCAAGGCCGATATATCGGCCAAAATTTGGCATTTTTCAAATATCGGCATCGGCCGATAAGTTTTCCTGTTTGGCCGATGCGTTTGAGGTGGGACTTTTATTTTTGACGGCACGACTTAATAATCAGATAAACAAAGGAATTAAAATGTACTGTATACAAAAAGTATTATAAAGATTGCTTTTATATTATTAGTACTAGAAAGGCAAACATTATAATACTTTCTCGTTTGCCGTCAGCATTCAGCAAATACGCATTTATATCATTTAAACAAATCGAATGAATGTGAATTGAATACTGACAGGAGGAGAGTTCAGCTTCACTGGAGACGACCGATCGACAAACTTTAAACTCGTGATTTTAAATTATGCTGTGCTTTATGCATTTGCCCACTGCCATATTAATGTAATTTCCACTGTATGCTGTATGTAAAATGAGTGTTACCATGGCTTTATTTGAAAAAATATGATTTCCAATGCACACAACTTCCTAGAATACTGAGTGCCCTGTTGGTTACAGTGTTTACTTCCTTTTTTATTATATTTTTTATTAGTGGTGACTGTCAGTTAATGTACATATGGCAGAAATGTACGGAAAATCAATTCAAGACGTAATCAAACAGATGATGAACACTATTACAGTTAGTTCTGTACGGTTACAGTGTTTTTAATTATATTTTTATTATATATTTATTTATTTGTGAAAAATACTTTGTCATCTAAAGTATAAGTATGTTTATTTAACACATTTATTTTTTGAATCGATTTTCAAATTATTTTAAATGTCTTATATATAAATTAAAATACATACAATTATATCGGCTTTATATCGGCCATCGGCCACCCTGCTTTCCAAGATATCGGCATCGGCTGTCAAAAAACCAATATCGATCGAACACTAGTTCTAACGGCAGCACGGAGCACGAATGAATCCCTTCATCTTTACTACTAGTTTTATCAAGAAATAAACATTAATGAACATCTCATGTAATAGCTCAGTCACGTGTTTAAATTGCGGAAAGACATCATTAAAACAGCTTGCAAACAAAATGTCA